TTTTGTTGAAAATCTTTTGACTTACACATTGATACATTAAGAATATGGCCTTGCTATCCAGTTTCTCCAGCATCTTGTGTTCTTTCTTCTGTTCTTGGGTTGCCTTTTCACTCAACACAGGCACTCCATCTTCAATGATTTCCAACACATCCTGAAAACCAAACACAACCCACATCTTGATCCGCCAATCAGCAAATTGCTTGCCATCAAACATGGGTAGTGACCCCTGAATTCCTCCAATTCCAACCATCCTTTCTTGCAACACTCTTTCTAAATCTTTGATCTATACACAGTCAAAGAACCCTTCTTTTCTACACTTCTGGATACACTCACCTCCAGAACACAGTAACCACTTCACGCACACCCTAGGAAAACAACCCATGCTCTGATACCATATTAGAATAAAGGGTAGAATTGTAAACAACCACACTCAAACAATTACTTTCCCTTATTAAAAGAAATACGTGCATGTGCTAGTGAGAGAATTCAAAATGCAGAGAGAGAAGTAGAGATTCAGAGAAAGAATGAAGCACGCGATGCTCTGCTAGGGTTTCGACCCTCTTCCTCAGACCACCACCACCACACACGACGGAGCACCACCACACGTAGATTCAACCGGTCAAAAGCTTACAAAGGCACTCAGATAAACTGCATAACTCTCAAAATTTATTATTTTCAAATGAGTGATACAATGTATATTTATACACAAAACACACTGTAACAGAAAACAACTCTGTTTTGTGTATTTTTAACACTTACTTGGGGAACTATAAAAGAATACATTTCAAATTAGGTATTCTTGAAAGTATTTTAGGATTAGGAAATATATTTTGAAATACTAAATCTGAAGTACTTTTATATTTTAGATTAGATATTTCGTAAAGTATATCAATATTTATCAAAATAGTTATTTCAGAAAAATATTTTTATATATTGTCTGTTTCAGAAAATATATTTTGAATTTAAAAATACTTTTTAAAACACCCAGGATATAAAATTACTTATTTTTAATTAATGTTTTGAAAGGAATTTCTAATTCGTATATAACTATGGAATTACTCAATATAAAATCATATTAGGTATTTCAAAAGGCATTTTTAGATTTGGAATTATTTTAAAAAGATCAATTTTAGAATATACAAATATTTTTTGTAATTAAATGTTCTAAACATTTCGGATTCTTAATTATATTTTGGAATATGTCAATGTTTATTCGACGGTGTAATTTAGAATATATTATTGGATTTGTAAACACATTTCAAATTACACAATTCAAAATATAAACAAACTTATAGATTTGAACATCATTTTTAACTCAAACTTTAGACAATTAATTTGAGTCATTTTACTTCTATACTAATTATTTTTCTTATTTTTATTCGATGTGAAAATTTTAATACATCTTCAACTATAAACCAAATATGTCTATTAGATTATGTTTCTAGACTTGAAAAGTACCTATCGAATTACAAATCCAAAATATATTATATAATTTAAAATATATTTTCAAATCTAAAAATTTCCATCTTCTGAATGATAAAGTGTTGGAATATGGTACAGGAAGTAACAGCTGGGAATAGTGGAAACTCAATGTGAGGGGAAATGGTTAATGGTTTAAATCTAATTTACCGAAGGGTATTTGAAGGATTAAAAGTTTTATTGGGTGCAAATAGATAAAAAGGAGGTACATAAAAAATGGCGGAATTTAGAAATAACCCAAACAAAAACAAAGGTGGATCTAAGTCAAAGACATGCATATTCGTCCTTTTCGCTGTAATTGATTGTTCTTAACTTATTTACCTGTCTTAATTTTGCTTTTAAGAAATTCATGTGAACCACATTATTTAATTGTAGAAAGTATAAACATACTGAGATGTTGATAGAGTACCTATTTAGATCACAACCTGAAAATTTTTTAATTATTACCATTAATTTGTATGATAGTTTGTTAATTGATTATAAAATGTGAATTTCACTCTCAATACTTTTATATAAAATGTTATTTTTTACCAATAAATTTGTTAAATTATAACTTTCATCTATTACCTTCATTATTTATGGATGATATTAATACATAGTTTACTAGGAATGTATAATTAAGTAGTTACATCTTCAAACATATTATAGCAACAAAACAAAATATTCAACAGTAGAATTACTCATAATTATTTAACAAAATGTTATGTAATGAATAAGAGAGATATTTTTTACTCATAATTATGGTTGATTAGTCTCTCCATCATAATGATAAATAAAAATTAAAATTAGGGTAATAATCACTAATTAGGTTTTGAAGATCTCTAAGTAAAACCAATGAAACAAACAGTTTTGTTTTCTTCTTAAAAGGGCTATATATGAAGCAAATTGAACAGATAATATAGATTAATGAAAAATATAATATACTTGGGAATAATTCTTTCGTAGTCAAAATTTATAATAATATTAAATTTTGTGTGTGCAAGAATATACCATGAATAAAAAAAGTGAGCCATATGACAAAAGGCAAAACAACATTGATTATGTATGGGAACTTCCTAAAATGGAAAATTCTTAAGTATAGATACTTCCAAACAAAAATTGTTAACCACAAAATGACATGTGCATGTTAAAAAATATATAGACAATTAAAAAATTATAATCGATACCGTGGAAGTAAATGATTCATTCTAATATTCTTAAAATAAATAAATAACTAGCCTTAGTATGATGTGAATTGGAGTTCCACATAAAAATTAGTATAAATGTATTAACAGTCTTAGATGGTTGCAGCCAAATTACTTAAAAAAAGAATAAGGGACTAGATATCTCTATTTTGAAAATAAGTGGCACCAAAATTGAAAAAACAAAATTTGAGTACAAAGCTTGTATATATTAGTGAAATATTTATTTAATTTGAAATGTGTTTCTAATCATATACTTTTATTTTGTCTTTGTTTTTTTAATTTCTATACAATCGAGTATCATTATTTTTTACCTTATATGATATCAATTATTTTTATTTATAGAAAAAATATAAAGTGACAAAAAATCCATAAATTTATATTAGGGAATGGAACATTGATAGCTTGTCTTAATATTTTGTTTTTCAATTTCTTTAACCATTCAAGGTAAAACTTTTATTGTAGATTTGCATGGCCTCCAATTAGTGGGTTTGACACAATATTTGGAATCAATGGTTAAAGAGTTCAATCTAATTTTAATTAGGAGTAGTAAAACAGGTTAGTTTAACTGTTTTGGTTTGTTTCATTTTTGTTTGTCAAAAATAAATTGAATTCGGTTGGTCCTCTAAAAAAATTTGATTATAAGTTGTAACTTGTCCTATCACCTTTTTTCTTTTTCTTAATTTTTTATTTTTAAAATATTTAAGTTTTTAATTGGTTAATTAATATTTTCATTGAATAAATTAAAATAATTATTATATTTACATTAAATTACTTTACTTTATTAATCATTAGAATTTAATTTGTAAGGGATAGTGATTTAAATTATAATAATATTATATATTTTTTTATAAAAGCATAATATATAAAATTTAATCTTTTTAATTATTTTTATTTTTAAATAAAAAAACAAAATAAAACATATTAACGGCTTATCAACTATGATTCTTCTCTCTCTAATATCTTACCATCTTAAGAAATGAATTTTAATTCTACCTCAACCTACAAAATTGGATTATAAGATAAGGTTTCACTCACTTATATACAATAAATTGACTTTATCTTTAGTCGATATGGAACTTCCAACATACTCCCTCACGGTATATACATTTCGAGTATGAAACTAGACATTAATGGGTAATCTGATATCAGTCCCCACAGCGAGTCAAACAATATACCCAACAAACAATATTGTCACTGATACTATATTAATATGTTAAATTATAACTGTTTCGTATATCACTTTTATTAGTATGTTGACCGACGAAACACAACTCATTTTCACATCTTAAATTTTGAAAGACTAAAAACTTTTACTATGAAAATTATTCAAAATAAAACCTAGTAAAATTATTAATTCATAAATATTAATAATTCAAATTATAATATTATTATACATTTATATCATTCAAATAATGTAATATAGGAATTTAATTTTTTAAATTATTTTTTATTTTAATTTTATTATTATTCTCAACTTGTTAATAAAAAATGGTTTAAGACACAAATTACTTTTAGGTTTTATCATCATTATCTCATTTAAAATTCAAAATCTTAATACTATGCTAGCGTTCTAATAAAAAAAATTCTAATAGCAACAAGGCATTAAATTATAACTTAATATTTTGTTATCTTTCTAGAAACTTTTGATTCCCCAAGTATTTCAATCAAACGGCTAAACCGGCCATGAGTGAAACAACTTAGTGTAAGAGTTGGTAGGTGGTATTTGATATTATTGGTAAGTCTTTATAATATGACGATGATGATGGGCAAAGATACTTCATGTCCACCATCACATTCCATCAACATTTTCACATAAATAATTCATTCAACTTTCACATTAAATAACATTCTTAGATTCCTTCCCACTCACAAACACCTACTTTCCAATTTCCCACTCTGGATCTTAGAAAAGAAAATTAAAAATTAACAATCTTTAAGAGAGGGATTAAAATAAGTATTTTTAATTTCGCAAAAAAAAAAGGTATTTTACAATTATAAAACTTAAAATATTAGTTTTGTATTTAGAACATAAAAAAACTTAAACATATTAAAAAAATTAAAGTAAGAAATACAATAAACAAATAGTGATTAAACCTATTTTATTTCTATATTATTTTTATTATATGGACAATTTTTTTTGTACACTCTCTCCTATTGACCTATGGGAAAAGACAAAAGAATCGGTTTGATAGAAATAAATCAATGAAGTGAAGAAAAATAAAAGAATAAATGTAAGTAGATAAAATAAATAAATAGAAATGTTTGTTTATAGAAAAAAAAAATAGAAAGAAATAAGTGAAGAGTAAATAAAAATGTAATGAATTTCGTGATATTTTCACTCATCATACAACAAAACTATATTTTCACCAATCCCATCTTATTTAGGTATGCAACAATCTCAAACCAAAATCCGATTTTGGAATCTTGAAGTGTGATCACTCGCAATCAGCAGCAATGAAGTTTGGGAAAGAGTTCAAGACCCATTTGGAAGAAACCATCCCTGAGTGGAGGGATAAGTTCCTCTGTTATAAACCATTGAAGAAACTCCTGAATCACCACCTTCCTTCAACCACTACCACCGCCACCACCACCCCCATCAATCTCCCTCTTCATCTTCTCCAACAACCCTCTTCCCCACAACTCCTGCAGGCTTGGTTTGTCAGGATTCTCAATGAAGAGCTTGAAAAGTTCAATGATTTCTATGTGGACAAAGAGGAAGAGTTTGTTATCCGCTTTCAGGTTCTTCCCCCACTTTCTTTTTTCGTTTCATCTTTTGCTCTGTACTTTTATTTTCTTATTCTTATTAGTTTCTGTTAAAATTGATTATTTGTAAATTGGCAGGGCTTTGAATTTCGTTTTTCGATTTTTAATATATAAGAAAATTGCATGGAAATGTAGCTCGTGTGGCCGGAATTGTTGTGGTTGAAAAGTCTAAAACTTTTTTTGTGGGTGAAATCGTGGACTGTTCTCTAAATCCTTGAAATTGTGTTTGCACAGTTGGGTATTTGAGAAAGGTCTGGGTTTGATCAAACCCTAATTTTTATCTGGTATATGTATAGGCATGCTTTTTTATGGGATGTTGGTATACAAAGTGCCCTTTTGTTTAGAAGTCAGAAAGGTTTCATTTTTAAGCTGTTTAATGTAATTGGAACATGTATCTAACTTAGTTACGTTCTTAGACATTATGTAGAAAAAAATACCCTAATCCACTATTTTTAATTTCGATCAAAATGAGAAATTGGTAGTCAGGAAATTGTATTTGCACAATTGGGTATTTAGAAAGGTCTTGGCTTGTTCAATTTTATGATGATACGAAGAAAATTTTACTAAACTATTTTGTAACCTTAAAATTAGTTGGGTTGGTTGGGTTCTGCTGAGAAGCATTCCTAGGGCTGTCTGATACCATGTAGCTTCTTCAAGGTTTTTTTAAGGAATATACAAAATAATATAGTATGACATAACCTTGGTATAATTCAAATTTGTATAATAGTTTTTAGTTGAAAGGGTGAATGGAATCAATACTATCTGTCGGTCTTTTATAATCCCACTATTCAATTGTCTGTCATTTTATAGAATTTATAGATTTTACTAACTTACAAATGGTAGGTAAGCATGTTTCTTCATGGATAGCTTATAATTGAGATATATTATCTTTGTTTTCTCCTCAATGTGTCTTATTTAGCTCCTATGAAGCCATACAAATTATACTGATTTTCTTCAAACAATTTGATTCTCAAGTTTGGATCATTATAATGAAAAATAAAATGACACAAGTAACTCTTACGAATTAACTTGTTCTAATATGTAGCAGATATAAATTTATTTGATTCATACCGTTGTAGCATTATTAATACTAGATACCTCTATGTTATTCCTGCAAGCTGCATGAAGCTTATCATCTAGTGCAAAACTTATCCTAGTTCAACGTGAGATGACATGGAATCTTCCATGGCACAAAACATAACTATATTGACAATGTTTAAGGATGTCTCGAGATAATCCAATGTATGTTTTTCCTACTTTAGAGGATTAATTATCGATATTTCAGTCATGAATTGTGTACTGAATCCAACTGTTACATGGAAAACACATCAATATAAAATATATCGCTTTGTAATACCATTTACTGAAAACAGGCAACTCTGTTTCTTCCCTGATTTTTGCCTGAAACATTGAACAGGAGCTGAAAGAGAGAATCGAGCGTCTTAAAGATAAAAGCAGCCACAGTGAAATGTACACATCTGACTGTGAATTCAGTGAAGAAATGATGGACATCAGAAAGGACTTGGTTACCATCCATGGAGAAATGGTGCTCCTAAAAAACTACAGTTCTTTAAACTTTGCAGGTACATAATCGAAGTAATCTAATATCTATCTTTTCTATAAGTCTACACTTTCCTGTGAAAATGCCATTTCTATAAGGTTTTTTGTTATGGCAAATACATATTACTTGATTCATGTTGTGTGTTTGATGAGGTTTCAATTAGGTACTTGTTCATTCTTAAGACATTAACCTATTATAACTCCCACAGGACTAATTAAAATTTTGAAGAAGTATGATAAAAGAACTGGTGGGTTGTTGCGTCTGCCTTTTACACAATTTGTTCTTCGTCAACCTTTTTTCACCACTGAACCCCTCACAAGACTAGTTCATGAATGTGAGGAAAATCTAGAACTTCTCTTTCCCCTACAAGCAGAAGTAATCCAATCTTCTCCCCCTCCAGAAAATCCGGCTAGACCGCCGGCAGATGGCGCGACAAATGCCTTACCTGAGGCATCCTCAACTCTTGGGGAGGAAACCATGTACATATATCGTAGCACTCTTGCTGCTATGAGAGCCATAAAGGGTCTTCAGAAAGCAAGCTCCACTTCCAATCCATTTTCCTTTTCTTCCCTCTTTAGCAACCAAGATGGTGATGGCACCGGTGCTGTAACAGCTGAAAACTCGGCAGCAAATTCTCCGGCGACCTTGCCGAATGAAGCCAACACTGGCAAAGAGGGAGCCAATTCTGTGTAGGATAAGTTTTCTTTTATGGTTGCTTCTTGTATCTTCTTTTGAATTGCTTTTTCAACCTTGTTAGTTCAAACTAAATTAAATGACATCTTTCTATTCGTATATATAATAAAACATGTTTACTAGTGAGATGCACTTGCTCTGGCATTTTTAACTATTGAGTTACAACAAATTGGATACTAAATAAATTATTATTATTTTTATTAAAATACCTAAAGGAATTTTATTTGTATTTACTTTTTTAAGTTTATGAAATTGAAGTAATAAATTGGTTTTGTAAGAGGGTTGAATAGAGTCATAAGATTCTTTTTTACATACTGAAAGACCATTTAGCACCAAAAAGAAAAAATAGCACAACAAATTATATTGGTTCATCAACAATTTTTTAATTATTTCGAGATAAAGGATTATACAAATCAAAAGTTGATTACAAAACATGTACATAAATCACTTTTCAGATATTTTTCTCAATTTTTTCCTATGTAACTGTTGGCCCATTTAAATATTCTTTAAATTAATTAAACTGTAATTTCAACAGCGTCCACAAAATATTATAACAAGAATAATTTATGCGTTATAAATAACTTTTTACAATTATTTAATTTTCAAATAAATTCAAATGTCATAAATTTATTTTAAATTAACTATTTAAATATGAAAACTAAAAATTTGAAATTAAATATAAAATGCAAATATAAATATGCACTCAGTAACTCACATTTTTTATTGTCACTTGTTGCTATAAATACATAAGGTAGAAGACAAAGAGAATTATCCTCAAAAAAAGACTATAGACTCTCAAATTTAGAAACATTTAATTTTAAGATATTTTTTGTCCTGATTTGCATTATTCATCTTTTTTCTAATCTATTGACTCTGAAATTTTTATTCGTTGTTACTAAGTCATTTTTACCATACTGTAAATTATCAACGATGGAGTCAGTTATATATATCATTGTAAACTAAATGAATATTAAAAGTAAATTTCATTTAATGTTGGCTTAAATGAATGTTAACCCACATGACGAAGAGTTGACATTCACCTTCAAAAACAGATACTAAAAAAATTAATGTTTATAATTTTAGTTTATGGTGTGTATCGCAAAAATTTGACATCATTAATTAATTATGGTAAATTTTTATTTGTTTGTGTCAGTTATCGGACAATGCTAAATTATCATTATAGGAAATTCAATTATTAAAATCCTTATTTTTAAAGTATAAGAATTATGGTAAAAATATGTATGAATAATATTGTACACATAATGGACTTTACGGAGATCTCAGGAGACATATATTATGTCTTCAAAAAGAGAAACACATGTTCAATTGCCCCATTTATAGATAAATAAGATAAAAATGATAAACAAAATGTTAGCAAAACAATGAAGATGAAGTTTTGATGATGTTCAATTCAAGTCAAGAGATATCAAGATTCAAGTAGATCCTTTGAAGATTTGTACTGTTATAGAAAGTTTTTGTAATAATTATAGTTAGATATTTAGGACTTAGATTTTCAGTAGGTTTTGATTTCATATACTTTCATACTGTATGTTTGATATTCAAAATTAAAATCACACTGTTTTAGTCGATTAAACCTAATATTAATCGATTAAAACAGAGTAAGAGTTGAAAACTGTAACATCCCAAAATCTCACACTTGATAATTCATAATTTATATATTGAAACATTACATTTAAGGTAACATCACATAATCTAACACTTGAAAATTAATAGTTGATATATATCTATATGTTTTAAACTCAGATTTCAACTACAAATTCATAAATATAACTCGAATTCTTCTACTTTATTCTTCTATCTCTCCCTTCCTTGACACTGAGTCACACGACATTCCTTCATCTGCTCCCGTATAACGAATTATACGATCATCGTACATACCCAAACACAAACACAGACAAGTAGGGTGAGCTAACATGCAACCAATCATTTATAAAACATGCATAATTACTTTGATGCACTCAACAAACCTCATATAATAATTATGTCAGAGACCCGCCTACCATCATACAACAATCGCATCATAGATACTCATACCATCATACAACAATCACATCATAGATACTCATACCATCATACAACAATCACATCATAGATACTTATACCATCATACAACAATCGCATCATAGATACTCATACCATCATACAACAATCGCATCATAAATACTTATACCATCATACCACAATCGCATCATAGATACTCATCCCACCATACCTGTGAGCTCTGAGGTTGTTCCTGTCATCATATTCTTCCACGGCGAAGGGCGAGGGCAGAGACAGGAAGCTTCTGGAACGCCGGAGAAGACGAAGTTAGGTTCAATTTGAAAAATGAAACAACGTAGCACGACAGCTGGCATCAAACCTGGCCTCGCCGTTTGCCACATCTACTAAAACTTAACGTCATCCATTTTTAAGGACTAATACTAAGAGTTTCAAAACTACGAGGACTAAAAACCATCAAAATTTTGAGTGGGGACTAAAACCAAAATCGTGTGATATTTAAGGGACGAAAAACATATTTAACCCTTAAAGTATTTATCTTTACATTATCAATTAGTAACAAAAAATCATTCAATGATATGAAAGTTTTTAACTTCAATCAAAGTTAAAAACTTTTGAACTCATATTATTAATATGTATAATGAAAAGAGGAACATTGTGTAACTTTGAACTCATTATTAATATGTATAATGAAAAGAGGAACATTGTGACTTCTAAAGGAAAAGAAAAGAAGGGGAGGAGAATCAAAAGTATAATTAAGGTTTTTAATATGTTTTATTAAGGATAAAATGGAAATACTATATTTTTTGAGATGCTAAAAGGAAAAGGGAGGTGAGAAATGACCCTCGACTCCTTAATATAATATGATTCCAGAACCCACGTACTTTTTATGATTGTAACCTATATTAATTTTCACACATTATTACCTTTGGTGCTTAATCTAAACAGGTAGAAGAGATGTCTTGCAAGGTTGTGATATATTGTATTGACTCCTACCATCATTATAAATCTAAATTGTCCCATATAACTATTTTTCTAAACAAAGTATTAAAAGATTTAAATAATAAATTAATGTGTCTGAACCAATATACCACTTTTACTTAATTCACAAAAAGTTTTAATAATTAAGTTGATATAATATTATTTTCTTAACCCTAGATTAAACTAATGTAAATATTGCATTTGAGACAAAAAATTATTAAGAAAATATAAATAGTAATATTATTATATAAATAATAAAAAAAAAATTAAATAAATATAAAAAAAACAATAAATTATCTTTGTATTATTAGATATTAAGATGAATAATTGATTATGATATTATTAATGAATTTTTCAAAAAAAATTATTAAGAATATATAACAAAAAAAAAAATAGAAACACCTTAAATAAAGTTTTAAAATCACTTTTAACCTAAAAATCTTAAAATAATGAATTTATAAGTTTTTTTTATAAAATATTCAATTTTTTTGTCTCTAACCAATAAGACACTTAACTTATACGTATATTTCAAGCATAAACTTTTGTATAATTTTTTCTCATCAAACATTGAATAATCCACCTCCTAAATAACACCATTATATACTTTGTTAAAGTTATTCATTATCTTTATTTGCGTATTTTATATTTTGGTTCTCATGTTTTTCTGTAGATGCACATTATTGAAACTCGTGATCAGTGTCTCTAACTTGTGCAACAAATAAAAGTGCTTACACTAGGATTCTTTCATCGAATCATCTCAACAAAAAAAAATCAATAAAAAAGGGAGAATATGCAAGAGAGAGAACAAAATGGTCGAAATGAGCTAGAACTATGAAGATTTGACGAGTAAAAGTTGCTAAAAGTTTGTAGAAAGTGAGAGAGTGCTTTGAATAAAAAAACAAAAATTCCACATTGAGTCCACAAGTTATAACATAATAATACAAATTACAACAAGTTTAACTATTTTAAACTTTTTGGACTTGTTACTCTTGAACGAGTTACAATCATCTAATAATCTAACAACAAATCCATTATTAATATCATTCACGTAACTTTTGAGAACCTACAACATTATGTCACATATTAGAATAAAAGTAATCATAAATGAAGATTATGATATAATAAAGTGAAATAAGTGTATATGATTCTCACCGATTGTAAAATGTTTTGCAACACGAATTAGGAACCTAAGCTAATAATGAAGGAAAAGCAAGGTTTAAGTTAATGTCTAATGATTCCTCATCCAATTATGCATTTTCTTTTTCAAATACAAGGATCCTTTTGCATTCATGTTGAGACGTAGAGGTATGTAATCAAATTAAGAAACTCAACCCTTGTTTGTTAAAGAAAAATGCATGACGGTGATACATGTCTAAAACTTTTAGGTTTGAAGGTCATCAAACCAATTAATTATTCCTTCATCAAAGTTGTTAAGAAATGAATTTTAATGGATAATCTGATAACAAATGAAACAATATGTTCAACAAACAAAAAAAAACATTGTTGGGATAAGTTTAAATGCATGACTCTGATGGAATGTTAAGAAGTAAACTTTAAACCTAACTCAACCTCAAAAATACGCTTTGTAAAGTAAAATTTGCACCCACTGATATACTATGAAATCATCTTATTTCTAATCGATGTGAGACTTCTAACAAAAGTTTAATTGCATATACGTTGATGTGTAATACTTATACGTTGTCATGTGCTTCAGATTTGCATTTAGCTATAATATGTATCACTAGATGACACTTAAAGAACAAAGCTTCCATGGGAGTCATATTAACTTTCTATTCTTCCTACATATCCATAATTCTCAAAGTCTTTTTAAATGAATGATTAATTAGATTAGTGCAAAATTTAGAACTTATGTCAGGGTGATGTTTCAAAAAGAAAATCTTTATAAATAAACATTTATATTTATAGAAGATTTAGATAACGTTTGAACACGCACACAAAGTATAAAGGTTTTTGGGTTTTCTTCCTCTTCCAAACTTTGCTTCATTATGATGCTTTTTTTTTAAAGAAATTATAATTTTTAATCCTCCAAAAGTCAACGACATTAAATTTTGTTTAAGATAACTAACGGAGTGTCACGT